TCCTAGTACTTTGGGAGGCCAAGGCAGGAGAATAGTTTGAACTCAGGAGTTCAAGACCAGCTAGGGTAACATGGTGAAACCCCCTGTCTATTCCTACATATATACAAAAATTAGCTGGGCATGGTGGTGCACCAGTAGTCCCAGCTACTTGGAGGGCTGAGGCAGGAAGATGGCTTGAACCTGGGAGGCTGAAGCTGTGGTGAGTTGAGATTGTACCATTACACATCAGTCTGGGTGAAAACATGAGACCCTGTCTCAAAAAAAAAAAAAAAAAAACCCCGCAAAAAAAAGAGGGGAGTCCCTCCTGCTGGGCTAGTTCTGTTTAACTCTTAGGACAGAAAGTCTAATGGCGATTGGCGAGGGGAGAGTATAATGAGGTGTGTTCAACCTCCCATCCTGTCATGTCCAGGAACTCAGTTTTAACATTTCTCTGGGGTCCCTTTGGCCAAGGGAGCATCTGTTTAGTCAGTTGGGGGAGCTTAGGGTTTTATTTTTATTTCTCAAAACCTACAACCATGCACGAAGAGGATGGTGCCTGACTATACCCAGGACCACTGTCATGATGCACTTGACAGGCCACGGTTGCCTTTGTCTGGGCACGGGCAGCTCTGCAGAGTGTGAGCACATGCAGCGGTCACCCAGGCACGCAGCCCCTCAGCAGGGCAGCAGTGCAGGTGCTCTGTGATTTTGTTCATCTGATGAAAAAACAAAGCCATAGAAGGTTAAGTAGCTGCCCAAAGTTGCCAGCTAGCAAGGTGCAGAGCCAGGACTCACGCCCAGCCTGGCTCCCTCGCTTTCCTCATTCTGGTCACATTGGTTCAGGCTACTCAAGTCATTGTGTTTCTCTTGAGGAGTTGGGCTCTGCAGATTCTTAAGGTTCCTTTAAGTTCCAAAACCCTTTATTAGCCTAGTACAGTGGCTCATACCTGTAGACACAGCTACTCAGGAGGCTGAGGCTGGAGGACCACTTGAACCCAGGATGTGGAGGCTGCAGTGAGCTATGATTGCGCCATTGCACTCCAGCCTGGACAAGTGAGACCCTGTCTGTAAACCAAAACCAAAACCAAAAAACGAAACCCCTTCATTGTGTGTTTCTGTGAATCGGGCTAGAGAGACAGTATCTAATAGTTCTTAATAAATATTGGATGGGTAGATGAATGGAAATTGGTGGTGTTATATATCTAGGGATTGTGACCACCACAATAATCCAGACTCCTTTACTTGTAGAAATTTGATTTATCTAAGTAAGTGCATAAGTAGAGAAACCCAGCCCTCTCCTATCCAGAAACAAAATAAAGCACACCAACCTCACCCTCCTCCCACCCACCCCCATCACCTTAACATGAGAAAGCTTCATTTTAGCTGGCTACTCATGCAATGAATCTTCATCTTCATGGAACAATTTGACCTCTGACCAAGGCCTATGTAAGGCCAAGAAAAATATTCTGAGTTGATGCTAAATCCAGCTGCCTAAACTGTGATCAGACAATCTCCACCTTATAAACAAGTACATTCCAAAAGACTTTTTCCCTTGGGCTTTGGTGGTGCTAGGTTTTCTGGTTAGTCCATCAAAGTCTGCATCACTGGGATCCTAGCCCAGTACCAGCACTAACAAAGGCGGACTGAGCTCTAGCATGTGAGGGGAGGGTGCTGCCATGTGGAAGGGAGGAGTTTCCTCTTCTTTCCAGTAAAAGTCCTAAGTGCCTGAACCATGCCCTTGATAGCCCCTTGAATTTCTCTCACCCCTGGACCTTGCCGTGGGCATAGTGATAAAGGTGTGGGTTTGAGTCAGCTCACTTACTGGCTTGGTGACTCTGGGCAAGACATGTGCCTTTGCTGAGCCTCAGTTTCCACATATGTAAAACAGAAATAGTACCTGCTGGGTCATTGAAAAGGTAAGGTAGGGATAATTTTTTTTTTTTTTTTTTTTTTTTTTGAGACAGAGTCTCACACTGTTTCCTGAGCTGGAGTGCAATGACGTGATCTCAGCTCACTGCAACCTCTGCCTCCCACATTCAAGTGATTCTCTTGCCTCAGTCTCCTGAGTAGCTGGGATTACAGGCCTGCACCACCACACCTGGCTAATTTTTTTGTATTTTTAGTAGAGGCAGGGTTTCACCATGTTGGCCAGGCTGGTCTTGAACTCCTGATCTTGTGATCTGCCCTCCTCAGCCTCCCAAAGTGCTGGGATTACAGGCATGAACCACCACACCCAGCCAAGAGAGGGATAATATTTATAGTGTTTGGCCCAGTGAGGCTCGACTGTTAGGAGACGTGATGAGGAGGAGGAGGAAGAGGAGGAGGAGAAGGAGGAGGAGTCAGCTGGCTCCCCATGTTCTCCCGCTGTCCTGTGTTTCCCACTGGAGTGCCCTGCCTTGAGAGTGGGAGCTGAGAAGCAGGCCAACCACGCAACAGGCTTTAAGTATAATGTTGGAAACAGATGCTCAGTGCCACAAAGAAAAATCAGCACTGAGACAAAGGATCTCTCAGCAAGGCAATTTTACTTTCTGCAGAAAGGGTGTTCCTGTTAGCTATCTTGCCACGAGAGTACAATGAACAAAGGAAAAGCAGACATATTTATCCTTTACACATTTGGGGTCATCCTTACTGCTGTGTCTGATCTGTGTTGGTTAGAGCCAGACCTCACAATCTAAAAGTGAACCTGATTGGCTAATAACTTAAAACTTTCTTGAATAGGTAAAGAAGATGGAGAACAAAAGGAAAAGAGGAAGTCCAAATAAGGAAGGGACAGGAAGTTGCTTGTGAAAGAACTTAGAAAAGTAATAGCACAAATATCTTGGTTAAAGGACAAGGACATAGGCTGTACTATGTGCCTGTGAGCATGTTTAACAGCTACACGGGATAGGGCTTAACAAAGAGTTATTAGCAAAAAGCAAGAAGGCTTTGAAGAAAGTCCTTTTTTTTTTTTTTTTTGAGACGGAGTTTCGCTCTTGTTACCCAGGCTGGAGTGCAATGGCGCGATCTCGGCTCACCGCAACCTCCGCCTCCTGGGTTCAGGCAATTCTCCTGCCTCAGCCTCCTGAGTCGCTGGGATTACAGGCATGCGCCACCATGCCCAGCTAATTTTTTGTATTTTTAGTAGAGACGGGGTTTCACCATGTTGACCAGGATGGTCTCGATCTCTTGACCTTGTGATCCATCTGCCTCAGCCTCCCAAAGTGCTAGGATTACAGGTGTTAGCCACTGCGCCCGGCCCAAAGAAAGTCTTTAAAACAAACCATTATTTCTAACACTTATGATTTATCCTTTAATAAGAAAGGAAACTTTGCACTCTACTTCCTACACACAAGCTTCAACATTGATTAGTTTTCTCCTTCCCCCTCCCAACGGTAACCCATCCTTTTGGGTAGCTGAGCACAGCTTGAGGTTAGAAGGAAGGCAAGGTGCCAGCCATCTCCACACATCCAGGTGGGTAAGTGATAGGAACCAGCCTTCCTTCTAGAGCTGCTTGTGAACCCAGATGGGTTTCAAATTTAGTGCACTTGAGGTATTGTGTAAGAGAGGACAGATTTTCACAATTTCCTTCTTGTTTTCTCCAAACCTACAGTTGTGCTATTGGCTGTGGGTCACCCTCGGCTGCCCTTCAATGTTCTCCAGGCAGGGGTGAGATGAAGGGGAGGTGGTGGGTTCCTCAGTTGGCGACGCGGGGTCAGAGTGGCCATGGAGGTACCTCTAATACTGAAACATGCCTTCAAGGCTTTCTTATTTTTGGTCTCATTTTATTTTGCAAATAGAGCCCAGAGCAGAGTAAGTGCTTGACAAATATTCCCCTGTCCTCAGGATATAAAGGAATAGTCTCATTTATCCATACCGAGTGGGAGGTAAAGATAAGATTCTTAAGTGGAAAACCTGATCCTGAGGCCAGGTTGAGGAGGGAGACTGGGAGGTTTGTCTCCTGGAGACGAAGGGGAGGGGGAATGCAAGAGAAGCCTTGTTTGCCCCCTGGGGCACCTTTTTGAGGCTCCAGCTGTACCCTCACTACTCACTTTGTCTCCTGGGTGCATTAAAGTCCTTACTAACCAGTGTCCTGGGGACAGCTGAAAAACTGGGTGCCAGATTCTTAGTGTTGGGCTGAGGCTGCAAACACGTGAGACCTCCCAGAGGCACAAGCCCCTCCCAGCTCAGAACTCCCTGTTTCAGGCTGTTTACCTGAGAAGAGAGGACTGCTTTGTCCTCAGCCAATCAGACAGTGTTTGCCCACAACCGGGGCTCCTTCACTGGCTAGGAAGCACAATGACTCATCTCCCAGGAGGTGATTAATGTGGTCTTCGGAATTGTTCACAGCCTGTGTAGTCCCACAGGGCCCCCAGGTTCAGAAGTCAGGTCTGGTAAATGATGCGTCATTTACAAGTGTCTGCCATTGTGGCCCCAAGGGCTGTTCTGGGTGGCAGAGTGTTTTGTGCAGGAGTCCACACTGACCTTGGAACTTTCCTTGACAGCCTCCAGAATCGACGCCCCCACCCTCTGGGTCTTTCTGTCTTTCCAGGGCATAGCAAGGAGTCAGCTCATTCCAAGAGCCAGGTCATGTTACTTATTAGTTATACCCGGGGAATGAATGTTTCCTTGTTATGCCAGCAAAACCCAGTGCCTGTGTCCACTGGGACTGATAATGGCCTTCTTCGACTATGTGCATATTTGCAGTTTTTTTAGTTTTTCAAGCTGAACACAGGACGGTTGGAGTCTGGACCCCCAA